GGAAATAAGAATCAGCGGTCGAGCGCTATATTTTATGTTAAGAATAAGTCTAGTTCTAGCTTTAGTGAGCCTTCTACTAGTTATACTAGAAGAGCGGCTCCTAAGTCTTCTAGTTCTAAGATATCTGTCTCGAATCGCTGCTTTAGTTGTATTTCTCTAAATTGCGTTAAATCTATGAAATGTTGTTGTTTGAGTCCGATCCTTCAAGCAGTACAAGTAATCCTGTGATTGTTAAGAATGTTGCAAATAAGCCCAAGAATGATAGAGTGAATGTTGAGGGTGAGGTCAAACTACCGTTTTTAAAGTATCCTCTCAAGATTCACTCATCAGTCAAACATCTGAGAAGGCTATCACGTGAACCAATTTCGAAAGATCATATATCTGAACAATCATTCAGGACAAATGAAAATTCCCTCGCTCCAAAAATGAAACAAATGTGGGTTCTTAAGGCTGAACTGAACAGTTAAAAATGAAAAATTCTTCTCAACCAGCCAGCCTAGGATCCCAAATCAAAAGGAAATTGAAACAATTGCTCACTGTTGATAAGGAAGGACCCATCTGGCGATGGGTACCTAAGCGGAACTAATCTGTTTTGCAGGTCAGTCATGTGTGGCATCTTGATTTGGGTTGCTCGTCACAAATGACTGGACAGATAGAACTACTGAGCAACTATTCTGAGAGGTTTGGAGGAAATGTGAGGTTTGGGAACAATGCATTATCGCCCATACTCGGGAAAGGAGATATCATTTGTGAGAGCGTCACAATCAGGAATTTGTCATATGTGCAAGGACTTAAGCACAACTTGCTTAGCATAGGCCAATTTTGTGACAATGGAATGGAGGTGAGATTCCATGCTAAGCAATGTTGTGTGATGGATATGAGTGGCAAACCATTATTAAAGTGTCAGAGAAAAAGCAATCTCTACACTATTGATCTCAAATCGGTACGATCCCCCATATCCATCTATCTCCTGTCCAAAGCATCTGAAGAACAAAGCAATTTATGGCACAAACGTCTCTCACACTTGAATCTGCCGGCTATCAGTTCCCTATCCTCAAAGAAGTTGGTGAAAGAATTACCTGTTCTGAAGAACTCCCCCAACCATCACTGTTCTGCATGTCATTTGGGAAAGTTGAGGAGAACTTCACACAAATCTAAACAATTTCCCTCCTCATCTCGTCCCCTGGAGCTACTACATATGGATCTGTGTGGTCTGATGCGCGTGCATAGCATCAGTGGACGCAAATATACTCTGGTTATTGTGGATGACTACTCACGCTACACATGGACCAAGTTTTTGCGCTCCAAGGACGAAAACTGCAAACCTCATCATGATGTTCATCAGGACCATACAGAACTATCTACAGCAGAATGTGAAGATCACCAGGACTAAAAATGGGACGAAGTTCAAGAACAAGGAACTGACCGAATTCTACGAACCTCAGGGGATTACACAACAGTTCTCTGCAGCTAAAAACACCACAGCAGAACGGTGTTGTGGAAAGACGGAACAGGACCTTGGTGGAAGCATCCAGAACTATGCTGATACAGTGAAAACTTCCTCACTTCATGTGGGCCGAAGCTATCAACACGACTTGCTTCACACAGAACAGGATGATGATTCACAAAAGATTTGACAAGACACCTTACGAGATTGTGTTCAAGCGACTCCCTAACATTGCCTTCTTCCGTGTCTTCGGCTGCAAATGCTACATTATGAATGACAGGGATGCTAGGGGGAAGCTTGATCCCAAGGCAAATGAAGGGATTTTCATTGGATATTCTACCAATTCTAAGGCGTACAAAGTATACTTGAAAGACAGAAGAACCGTCATGGAGAGCATCAATGTGAGCTTCTATGAAATGGCGGATTTGGCTTCTGAACATTTCCACGCTGAACCATCAATCTTTGGAAACGACGAGACTCCATCACCTTCTGTAGTAGGAGGACAGAGAGGTGAGACAAGATCGGATGAGCATGTGGTACTGGACTCTCTGTTTGAGCACTTCTACAGCCAACCACGTGCATCACCAGCTACTAATGCTCCAACTACTCAGATCCCCCTGTTACCTGCTTCGACAGCTGAAGTCACCAACACAAGAAACCGCAACGCAAGAAACCCCAGAGGCACAACCAGATCAAGAATACATTGACCCTGATCATCCGATCATAGCTCCACTGCCGCCAGAGCTGATAATTGGAGATCCATCTAAAGGAGTCAAAACCAGAACGACATCAGTCAATGAGTGGTTATATTCATGTTTCCTAAGTGAGAAAGAACCAACAAAGATTGAAAGTGTGGACCCTGGTGCCGAGGCCGTACAAGAAAACGTAATGCTTATGAATTACGTTAATGAAAGTAATTCATAAGCATTAACAATAATTTGATATGTTTAGGAACATTTATTTATTAAATTTCACTAAATTTCACTAAAATTAACTAATGTCCAATTAGGGATGTCAAAAAAACCCGACCCGCAATGACCCGCCCTGGCCCGAGACATTTGGGGCGGGTCCGCCCCGCCCCGCCTATACAATGGGGCGGGTCCGGGTATTAGAATTGACTCGTACCGCCCCGCCCCGACCTGACCCGCTCAATATATAAGTATACATATTTATTAACTTATACTACAAATATACTTCAACATACATATGTGTGTATACAATAAATCATAAATTCTTTGATCTTATAATATATGAATATATATTAGAATGAGATGCACGACGGATTATCAATGTCTTCTTTATATACACAATTTTAATACATTTATTCAATTATTAATATAACTAATTAGATTAACTATTCAAGTTTGAGTAATTTTTCCTTAATTTTTGAAATTTTTAGCGTATCATGAATTTGATTTAATATATTGATTTTTAATTATTATTTAGAGATAAACATTATGTAGATTCAATTGGTACCAACTCCCCACAAATAAAAATACAAACTAGCTAATTAGGTTGGGGCGGGTCAGACCCACCCCGCCCCGCATGGGGCGGGTCATGGGTCAACAAGTTTGGACCCGTGCAGGTCACGGGGCGGGGCGGACCCGCCCCGCCAAGTCACGGGGCGGGTCCGGGTCTTGCAATACCCGCCCCGCCCCGACCCATTGCCATGCCAATGTCCAATTAATATTATTACTACCTCCGTCCCATTTATATTGGGACGGAAGAAGGTGGCACGGTTATTAAGAAAAGTTGGTTTATGTGATTGATATTAATTGAAAAAGTAAGAATAAAGTAAGAATGATTTAGAGCCACACAAACTTTGCCAAATATGATATGAGACAATTTAAGTGGGGCTTCCCGAAAAGGTAAAACAAGACAATATAAATGGGACGGAGGGAGTAAACTACAAACAATACGTTAATGACATTAATTCACAATACTAAAATTATCAAAATCTAATTAATAATACACAATAAACAATTTACTAAATTAAATGAAATTCGCAATACTAAAATTATCAAAATCTAATTAATAATACACAATAAACAATTCTGAACTAAATGAACTTCAAATAATTTACAATAACAATTCACAAAATCTAAGTAATGTTTTAATCAAGACTTAACCATTATAATAATCAAAACTCAACCCTTATAATAATTAAAACCCCTATTCCCCAAATCAATCCACAATCCTTCGGCTTCCAGATACTTGGCCGCCCATATGGATCAATTTACCAAAGTCTCTGTCTTCTTCTTTCGCCGCCCAAGTCGATCAATTCACCTTCTATCTTCTTTTTCTTCTTCTTCATCTTCTTCTTTTCCTTTTCATTCTCCTTTGGTCCTCTGTTTTTTATCTTCTTTTGCTTTTTTATTTGGGAAAACTGTCAAATAGGCCCCTTACCAATACAGAAAAGTCAATTAAGCCCCTCAACTCAAAAAACACTCAATTAAGCCCACAAACTATAAAAAACGAGGCAAAACAGTCCTTTTAGCAGGTAATTAAGCAGTTAAAAAGAGATAAGGAAAAAAGGAAAGAAAGAGAAAAGGAGAAAAAGAGAAAAAGAAAATGTACAAGCGTGCCACATCATTTGCCACACATGCAATTTAACTGGGAACGGTTAATATCCTGCTAAAAGGACTGTTTTGCCTCGTTATATTTAGTTCGTGGGCTTTAATTAGATGTTTTTTGAGTTCGGGGGCTTAATTGACTTTTTCATATTAGTAGGGGGGCCTATTTGACACTTTTCCCTTTTTATTTCAATCAATAATAATTTTGTTTCACTTTTTCAGATTCTAAATTGAACATTTATCTTTTAGATCTGCAAAATTGAGATAAGAAAATGTAAAGCTTCGATGTTTTAGATACTAAGTACTAACTTTATTTATGAAAAATGCCATTTGAAGCCCTAACTTTATTTATGAATGGCACTCCTAATTGTTTTCAAAAACCATATTTATAGTGTCATGTTCTTGAATCAGAAATGTCAATGCCATTTTCATGCTACTAACTTTTAGAGTTTTTTTCCTAATTAATGTTAATTAATTAATTAATTACGAAAATAGGGTTGGGTTAAAAGTATTTACCAAAATACTGCTGGGTTAACCATGGTAGGGGTAAGTCGCCCAACGGTTGGGCGACTTATAAGTCGCCAAACGGTTTGGCGACTTATAAGTCGCCCAACCGTTGGGCGACTTATAAGTCGCCCAACCGTTGGGCGACTTTCCCTTTAAGTAAAAACGGGGTCCTCCCCCAAACAGAACACTTCGCAACTGCAGCCCCAAATTCCCTCTAGCGCAGCACCTACGGCAGACGAAGGAAGAAGACGACCGAGCTCCTATCCAACTCCGGCGAAGCTCCATCTCCAGCCTCCCCACTCCGGAAAACCTCCATCTTCATCTTCAACACAATCTTTACTCCTTATTCTATGTAAATTCAAATCCATTTCATCTAATTTTGCACCTAGGGTTTAGAATGTTAAATTTTTGAATTTTGGGATTATGAATTGATTGTGAATGAAGTTGTTGTGAAATGTGGATATGTATGGAATGTTGACATTTGATTTTAAATTAATTGTAAAATGTTGTGTGTATTTTGACATTTGGGCATTTGGGTAGAGTTGAATGTACCTAAATTTGGGTATTCAAAGGTAGACATTGAATGTAGATATCAAAATTTGGGTAGTTTGTTATTGAAATGTGAATTGTTTGTGAATTTGGAGTTAATGATATATTACAATTTTGGAAGCAATTTCTATTAAAAATGTGAATGTGTATAAAGTGTGTATATTGATGCCTACTCATGAATGTTGGACAATGAGTTGTTATTAGAATATGGATTTCTCAAGCTTCCCACTCGTGTGTCATTGGGGAGGGAACTATTATGAGAATGGTGGGCAAATATGCCATGAAGGTGGCAGAACGAGCTTTGTCATGGTTTCTCGTGGCGCTTGCATGCTCGAGATCCTTCAAAAAATACATGCAGCGACAATGATTCATCCCGGCCGTTCATTGCGGTTGAAAATGAAATTTCCCATGAACGGGGGAAAGTACATGCTTATGCCGCTCATTGATGAGCTAGCTATAACAAATATGTGGGGCATAATTCAGATGGAGGATATGTCGTCGCTGGAGGTATACATTGAGGAATGCTTTGACGCTAATGCTACTCAATCGACATCAAATGCTGGTGTATCTAGGCATGATGTCAGTGCAGGGGTGAATGCAGGGAAGTCGTCAAAGGTTCCTGTACTAGACATGGTTATACAGGAGGATGGCAGGTATTTGCACAACGGTGCGTCATTTGTGGATGGGCAGGGAAGTGATGATGATGCAGACGAGAACATCAATGGTGACGACATGACAGAATCTGATGAAGATGATGGTGATACTGTGACACCAACTGCCCCGTCTAGTCACTTCACTAGAATGTATGATCTCCCTGAAGGTTTTACTGATGCGTGGATGAGTGGATCAGGTGAGAAAAGGTTTACCCCCGATGGTGAGTTTGAGGTCGGTCAACAGTTTGACAACAAAGAACAAGTCATCAATATGGTGAGCTTGTATTCTATCAAACGGAACCAATTCTATCGGGTGATAGAGTCCGATAAACACAAATGGGTGGCACAATGCAAAAGGAAGAAAGAATGTCAATGCCCCTGGAGAATACGCGCCACAAAGAACAAAGGCAACCTTGACACCTTCACAATTGTGCGTTATTCTGGACCTCATTCTGCTTCTTGTGTAGGCAACATCGACACTACAGATCACGTGGCCTTGACATCAGAATTCATCTGTAAAGATGTGGTTGACATTATTCGCACTGATCCTTCTCTTAAAGTGCATACTATCATCGAGATGTTGAAGGAAAAATATGGGTATACTGTATCTTACCGGAGAACATGAATGGGGAAGCAAAAGGCCATAGCACAAATATTTGGCAGTTGGGAAAAGTCATATTTCGAGTTGCCCCGTTTCATGACAGCGCTCCAACATTCTAATCCAGGAACTGTTGTTCAGTGGTACCCACCCCCCAATGGTGCGACAGGTTATATGATGTTTCAAAGAGTTTTTTGGGCATTCAAGGCATCAATATCTGGTTTTAAGCATTGTCGACCCGTACTTACTATTGATGGCACACACATGTATGGAAAGTACAAGGGCACATTGCTCGTGGCCATGGGTTGTGATGCGAACAACCAAATTTTCCCAGTCGCCTTTGCAGTTGTTGAATCGGAGAATGGAGACAGTTGGCCATGGTTTATGGCATGTATTAGGCATTTTGTGACTAACAGGGAGTTGTGTGTCATTTCAGATAGACATGGAGGTATTGTTAGGGCAATGAATGAGGTGGGAAGTAATTGGGAGGAGCCTTATGCGCATCATAGGCTATGCATCCGTCATCTTGCTTCAAATGTGCACACTCATTTCAAAGACATTCATTTAAAAAATCTATTTGTGTGGACCGCACGACAACATCAGAAAAAAAAAAATTTGATGGTGGGTTCAAGAAGATAGGTGAAATGAGTAGGGATGCACGACAATTTTTGGCCAACATTCCTCCAGAAATGTGGTCGCTGCACCATGATGGCGGGTACAGATACGGTACCATCACTTCAAATCTGGCTGAGGTTTTCAATAGCGTCATGAGCCTTCTGCGTGGTTTGTCCCATTTACATGTCGACCCCAGAGTCCTAGCCTATGTTCGTGCAGCAGGTTTTTTTACACTGCACAGGTTAGTGGCTACTGTGCCTTTAGATAGAGCCCTCCTCACTGCTCTACTTGAGCGTTGGAGGCAGGAGACACATTCATTTCACCTCCCTGTTGGTGAGGTCACTGTGACTTTGGGAGATGTGGCTGTACTTACCGGGTTAGAGGTTGATGGGAGAGCTGTTACAGGCACTGCTTGTCGACAGTGGGTGGATGAGTGTGAGAGGTTGTTAGGCATCCGCCCCGTTCTTAGGGCTGACCTTCAGGGGTCATCTCTTAGGATGCCATGGTTGAGGGAGCACTTCCAGGCCCTTCCTCCCGACGCTGATGAGATGATCATCCAGCAGCATGCTCGGGCGTATATATTGATGATGATGGGAGCCTCCATTTTCGCTGACAAGAGCGGAAATGAGGTTCAGGTGCTACACTTGCCTTTGTTTGAGAGGTTTGATGTAGCAGCACAGTTTAGCTGGGGTAGTGCCACCCTGGCTTATCTCTACAGGCAGCTGTGTCGCGGGTGCCAGAGAGGGAGCACAGAGCTGGGTGGATTTTTGCTACTCCTCCAGATTTGGTCATGGGAGTATATCCACATTGGCCGTCCCATTATAGTTGGATATCATGGCATTGATGGACAGCCACTGCCTGATGAGCCTCCACGTCTGCTAGGACCACATCATGTACGGGGCGTGGACCCTCTAGGCCGTCGGTATGTTTTAAATCATTTGTATTTGTGTTACTTTTTGTTGAATGTAAATGCATTAATAAAATCCATATTATTGATATTGTAACATTAATGGTTAGGTGGCTATATGCTGGTTTATCTCGCATGTCATCCGCTACTGGCCTCGGTGTGTACAGGGATGCATTGGATCGGATGTCAGAGGACCAGGTATGGTGTGTGTAGTATAACAGTAACTAGAATAGGTGTAGAATAAATACTAATTTTGTATGTTTACGAAACAGATCACATGGATGCCGTATAGACCTGATATGTTAGCAGAGTTGCCCCCAGCTGGCCGAGAGCAGACTCACATATGGCGAGCACGTGTGCCGCTGATATGTTTTGACATTGTTGAGCTTCATTTGCCTGATAGAGTCATGCGACAGTTTGGGTTTGAGCAGGTCATTCCACGTCCTATCGACACTTATGTAGAGCTGCATAGGCTGGATAGGCGTGGGAAGCATACAGAGGATTGGGCACTCAGACATGTCCGATACGTGACTATGTGGGATAGGAGAGCTGAGCTAGCTGTGGCTGGGACACCCACATATGTGCCATCAGTTTCAGGAGATTACATGGGATGGTACTACAGCATCACTCGGTTGTTTGTGTCTCCTTCGTTCAGACTCCCTACTCATCATTATCAGCCTAGCTCATTGGCATTGCATCTTACAGTGAGTATATTACTAATTAGTAAAGTAAGTCATTTTATTTATGTAATACTTGTATGTATTTCAATATAATTGTAATTGTGTTTCGTATTGCAGACACGAGCTTTGCAGCGCATACATCAGCGGGCTACTGCCACTGTGACTGATATTCCTGATGTGGACATGTATGGACAGACTCTGACAGGCATTGCCTCGTTATGCTCAGATGTGTTGGGTCGAGTAGACTACGGACATCTTATACACATGCCCGCATCTCAGGAGATGGCATCCACGTCTAGTGCAGCTGCGGCTTCATCATCCCAGACGCAACATGAGAGAGTGGTTCTTCAACCACGACAACGCCGTAGGCGTAGACATGAGCAGCAACATCTCCATGACGAAGCTGATGATGGGAACTTGTAGTTTGTCTTTTGTATTGTAGTTTTTCTTATGCAGTAGATGTTGTAGGAACAATTTACAAGTTTTGATGTATTTTCTCTTGTTAAGTATTCTATGTTGTATTGATGTGTTCGAGTATGAATATTATATGATTATTTGTTATGGCATATATGATGATTGAACTGTGTTATATCGGTTATGATTTGAAAGTTTTTTAGCGGTGTTTATAAGGTGTTTTTATGCTGTTGAGAGTAGGTGATTATAATGTGTTGTATCTAGTTCGTAATACTTTAACAGGAGAAGGGAGACCTTATTTATAGCAAACAGATGAGTCTGGGTTGAACCGGGGCGAAAAACCTGATGAAATGCTGTTTTTGGACATAGGCACGATCGTGTCTACCTTTCTAGGCACGATCGTGCCTGGCTGACAGTAGCTGCTCGGTTGTTAACATATTTCAGGGCAAAGTCGCCCAACGGTTGGGCGACTTATAAGTCGCCAAACCGTTTGGCGACTTATAAGTCGCCCAACCGTTGGGCGACTTTGCCCTGACCACGGTTAGGGCCAGCAGTATTTTGGTAAATACTTTTTTTCCAGCATTATTTCCGTAAATAATTAATTAATTAACATTAATACGGAAAAAAACTCCTAACTTTTATCACTTAATTTTATAATTTTTCTTTCGATATGACATTCTTATTTATCTGATTATGCCATAAATCAAACGAAAATGCCATTTTCCTTCAAAGTAGGAAGTCATTTTTTTTAATCTCGAAGTGCCATAAATTTTTAGATGGCATAATTTTTTTTGCATTTGATAATGCCATAAATTTACAGTAATATTTTTAGTATGGCACTACGGCTGATTTTTGTTTTTATTTAGATGGCAATATTAAAATTGTAGTGTAATAATTAGTTTTATAATCTGTATTTTATTGTTGGAATGGATATGTGATGCTTTTGATTTTATTTGAATTGTAGTGTCCTGCAGATTAATTTTATTTGAATTTCATTGCTAAACGAGTTGATGGCTAGGTGGTCTGGCCAGAGGATATGGCATCGCCGCCAATCACACCAAAGACACAGCGGCAATGGTGGTCACGCCGGAGGACACGACGGTGGAGGAAGTCGCACCATGGGTGTAGCGCATTACTAATAGTATCGATTACACTAAGGTATACCAGTCTGGAGGAACTACTTTATAAATCACCCTGATTTATATAGCTCTGATTTATATAGCTCTTATATATACTCTCTTACCATGTTGGGACACATAACAAACGTGGGAAAAATTATTAGCAAACAAAATATAATATTGGCTCTTCACTTGATTTGGAATTGCATTCACAGTTTAATTTGGCACCGCTTCGGGCGCGGGTTGGGGCACGGGTTGGGGCACGGGTTGGGGCACGGGTTGGGCCAAAACCTGTCTAATCGGTGCGGGTTGGGCAACCGCACAACACAGTTTCTCTACAACCGCACAACACAGTTTCTCTACAATAAGGCAGTTAATTTTTTTCACGTTAACCCACTGAGTACAGATATTTATCTAAAATCCAACGAGTATTTCAGATTCAAACGACACAATCCAACAGGAGATCAAATCTAAAATCTAGAAGACACATCTCTCTTTTTTAATGAGATGCCAGCATACAGAGAGTTAGAGAGTATGCATTTTCCATGATGATGAGGTACATTTTTATTTAATACTGTTTTAATAATTACTGTTTAATACCTTCAAACAACAATATAACTACATATTTCGAACAATAAATATGAAATTCTAAATAAATATTTATAATTATTCTACATAGGGGTAACATAACATATCGGCGGCAAAGGGCCACTGAACTCAAGGAGCAAATCAAAAAAGGCAACACTTATATCATTTTTACCATTGGTTAAGCTGCTATCACTTCAAGTGGGCTTTAATTTTGGAATTTCATAAGTTTCATACTTTCATAATTTCAATTGTATATATTAAGAGTATGCAATTGAAAAGGAACAATACAATGAGTTACTGTGTACAAAATATGCAAATTTGAAACAATAAATATTTAGCAATTCATTTGAAGTATTTTTATAGTTTGGTAGTATTTAACGTGAAAAGAGAATGAAATAATGATAAATTTAGGTGAAGATAATCATACCTAGGTTTTTGGATGAGCAAACACCTGCATTTCCTGTTCTAAACTAACTTAAAATTAAAATTTACTGTCCAGGGACCTACAAATTTTGCTGTATATTTTGTAAAGTATATTAAAATGAAGGAAAAACATAGTCAACCTTGATAAACGTGACCGGCAATTAAAAGGGAATAACATGTTAAAATATACTCTGTATTTAGGCAATAAAAGGCAATAATTTATAGGCTAAAGATCCTTTAACCTTTTTAAAATGCACAACGTTGGGTCAGTTTTTAACCCACTGTCCCACTATATAAAGAACAAAGACCAATGTTGTTTTTCTAGATAAATAACATAGGTTCAACTTGATGAAATAAACAGTCTATAAAACGATGCAAGTCATTATGAAATCAAAGATAAATTATAAAAACTCACTATGTTTAATCAAAAGAAACAAGAGTCTTAAACGTTATTAAAGCAAGTAAGATAACAAGTAAACAGAAACAAAGAAATGATACGAATGGGTATGAATTTATCTATGTATTCCTCTAGCACACCGCTTGCCTATTCCGACTAAGCAGCCCGGTGTGCATAAGCAAAACCAGAACGCCTAAAAGCATTGTGGTTGGAAGAGAGAAGGTGAGGGCTTTCCTCACAAGGGAAAAGGGAATGGGATTTCGGTGCAGCCAACACTTTGATGAGCACAGCGATAACCAAAGGGTTATGTTTATTATGTTTCAAAATATATTACTTCTATAAAGAGGATTGTAAACTTTAGGTTCAAAAAAAGACAAAGTATATAGGCTACTCCCAATGCTTTATTCCGTAGTGAAATAGTAGTGTGATATTCTGATTTAAAATAGTCGTGAATAATTCGGGTTTGAAATGTAATTTTTTGTTAAATAGACAGTGAATAAAAATAATTGTTACAGCCAGAAAATATTCAACGAGATAGATGACATAAAATATACCTCATAAAAAATGAACAATGTATATTCACAGAGATGAAACGGAAGAGGAGGGGGTGAAACTTTGATGGGGAGACCTAGCAAATGAAGGATGGCCAGAACGTATTGTACCTAACCAGATATATTGTGTACAGTGTGTGTGAGGATTAGTCGTCAAAAATTGACAATAAAAAATAGAAAGTCTTCAAAGAATTAATAATGAATAACTAATTGTAAGAGTAATAGTATAAATGCTACCAGATTTGAGAATAATCGTCCGCAGATTATGCATCTTTTAGATCTCTGCCTTCGTTTACCACTCTGCAAAATTCGGTTGCATACACATCAATCAATACAAGAGAAGAAACAATATTCAATTAAAAAGAGAAATTTGTATTAGATAAACAACAAATATAATAAGTTATATAGATAAGTGTATGTTGACAGGGACGAAACGAAAATGGGCGAGATGTGAAATTAAGCTATATAGAAGCGGACACGGACGCTAGGAGACGAAGGATGTCAAGGTTTAGGTTCCTAGCAGACGATGAGTTGTGCGAGGATAGATGGTGAAGTGTGGACTGTGTGGTACACTCTAGAGATTCCAGAGCTGCTGTGTGGTAGAGTGAGAGTGAAGTGATGATGTATAGATATCTTCATACGTAGTACTAAACCTAGGATTATAGATAGATGGGCTGATTTTATATGGGCTATTGATTGACAATTGGATAGAGTCCAATTTTATGTTTCGAATAGAAATGGACCATTAATTTCCAGTTACATTCACACATATCCTATCCAATTGAATTGAATGAACCTTTAATTTGAATTAATTTAGAAACAATTACATAAATATGACCAAAATAAAGTTGACTTTCAAAAATATGACTAGTTACTAGAGTAGTAATGAAATCATAGTAATTCATGTTCCAGTTTTGAACTTAAGTTACCACAATACTACGTTGTAGTAATGAACAGTCATATTTATGTAAATAAATTTTATTCTAGTAATATTCTTATAAAAACCCTATATGGGATCTGAATGAATTCTTCAAATACGAAAAGTGTTTATAGAATTATTTTATTATATAGTCAATAAGAAAGATTATAAATGCATTTGTAGTCAAGAAGAAAGATCGCTCTCATTCCCATTTGTAGAGCATGTTTTTCGCCTTATCGGCCAAATTTTTTTCAGACACATGATTTTTTATTTCGTGCGTTTAATTGTGTAATAATAAGAAAAAGTAAAGTTGGAGTTTCTTTTCTGGCTGTATGGGCTGAAGTTAATATAAACGGCAATTTTTGCTATTTTTTCATACAATTTTTTCTTTATTTTATCAATGAAATATATTTTGAATATGATTTTTACATGAATCAACAGAATCAGTCAATTCAGTCATTTCAACTAGAACTTCATATGCTTAAAAAAACTAGAGCTTCATAAATTTCAGCCGAATCAGCCGATTTTGATACACCAAACAAGCTTTAAATATCGTATATCCAGAAATTTGCCATAATGTTTAATGTCTTATATGTGTCTTAAATTATAAACAAAATACAAAAACACTTTTGTCATGTGCATCGCACGAGTACAATACTAGTTCTACTAATAAAAATTCCAATTTGAATATGCAATTAACAACAGTTTAGTTATAATTTTTTCAAAAAAACAGGGAATGCTATACGTTTTATAATAAAGCACATTTAATATTTATATTTTCAAGTTGTAAATGCGTTCTTTCATGTTTTGCATTATATTTCATATAATTTTAATATATGATTTTTTCTTGCAAAAAACAAACTAAAAATGTGTGTAATCAAATTATATACTATCCTCCGTTCTCTTTTAAACGCAACATTAGACTATTTGCACTATTCACATATTCTATTTTGACTATATTTTATTCATTAATGTATTATAAATTAATTTTTTTTAAAATATTATTAAATTCTTCTCATTCTAAATTTTCAAAATATGAATTTTCTGAATTTTTTACTAATAAGGAATGAAAGATATTAATGGTCAAACTTGTGCGTTGGCAAACGTAAAATGTTGACTGTTGCAATTAAAAGGGAACGGAGGAAGTATTTTTTTTTTAAA